AGCATGGTGTAAGAATAGACAGGTGGGCCGAAGGCCCGCCTCTATCGAGTCCAATTTGTGTCGCAGTACATCTAAAATCCGCTAGGTGGTTTCGAGTAGTAGAGGCAGTTTTTATAATGGTCAGTATGACTATATAAAAAAAAAAAAAGAAAAAAGAAAAAAAAAATTTTCATACTATCAATGGCCTGCACGACACGGATCCCTCTGGTGGCTAGCATCGGTACTGCGACAAAATTTGAACTTTTTTTACAATGCGTTGAGGTAGGCCTTCGGCCCACCTGTCTATTCTTACACCATGATTTGTACTGTTGTGACGCGAGAAAAAATACCCCATTTGACAAAAATAATTGTTTTACCTGCTATACATAAAAATATGACAATTAACAATTGCTCAACGTAAACAATAATCAATTCTAAACGATTGATACCAATTTTAATAGTATAGACACGCTATAAAGGGTGGAGAAGATACTTTTCATGTCTCTCGCACGACAGCATCAAATTTATTTTTTTTTGCGAAAGTGATTGATCCGACAGTTTCTTACAAAGCGGTTGCAAACGTTGCTAACGAATCTTCAGTTTTGGGTATTTTTTTCGAGTCGAAATTAGCAAGTTGCTTGTGGAGTTCGCAGAGCTGTTTTCTACTTGAGTAGTCAATGGTAATCACAGCCGATAAATGTAACGTGTTGAAGATATGTGAAATATAAACTAGTACAAAAATTTTGAATTAAAATTTATATCACAAAACGTTTTACACTTCACTAACTTAAAATTAGATTCATTTTTGCACGGGTTTCAATAAAACTACAATTCAATCTCTGAGTATGAAGTCTTATATCTTATTTTTTTTTTTGTATTTATTAATTTACAAAAATTTTAAGGGACTAGTCAGACATATGTGTTAATTGAATTCTATGTATTTTTTATTATTCTCACACAATTATAATTTGCACATTATGTGAATCCCACAGTCAAGATTTGTTTTATAAAAGCTCGTGATCAAAAATCGATGTGTATAACATAAATATGGTATTTCATGCGAAAATCTTGGTCAATATGAAGTGAAAAAAAAGAGCGTCAGACTTCAACCATAACTAAACGTATATCTAAGAAATTACTTTTAAAAATGGTGATTTTCAGCACGCTTCAAGTTATACTAAATATATACATTGATTTATTTGAGTATAAATAGTTCCATTTGTGACTTGCAGCGTCTCCTATATACTGATGTGTGTACATACATATATATTCTTTAACTTAACCACCTGTACATGTGCTTAAACAATGTACAAATTATAAATTCAATTTTAATTCCAAGTGCCACATCTTATTGAGTACTCAAACATCACTGTGCTACCATAATATGATAAATTTATAATATATTTGAGAATTCACGTGAATAATATAATTTGTGAGTCTTAGCACCATTATAAGAACGTATTGTTTTACTAAAGTAATGTGCGCATATAATTTCGATGTCAATTAATATTGTATAAATTTTAATTGATCTTGAAACGTTTGCACATATTTCTTACAAGTTGAGTGTAATTTTCTATTGAAAATTTTAAATAGAACCTATGTTCTAAAGTTAAATTTGATGAATTAGCTGTCCAGTTACCTTTTATTGGTTGTAACGTTTTCATTCCACAATAAAGTAGTGATTATTTAAAACATTGACCATGTTTTGTTATTAAACATGTTTCTTAATATTGCATATGGAGCACATTCTGCCATATAGGAAATTGCGTTTAACTATAAGTAAAAAACAACTAAAGAATGGTCAGAAGTCAGATGGACACGCACAAATTAAAACTAAAAGCTTGTGTTTTAAAAGTGTCTGAAAATAAACATGTATTTATTATTATGATATAGTAAATATTATTATAATGTAGTAAGTAAACTTTTTTGTCTCGGTTTTCGTATCTCGGGTGCTCACCAGCGCCTTTAAGAGTGGCCACCAAACTTGGAGGGAAATTCAAATTGGCTATATGGAGCAAGACGTAAAATCCCAGACAACTGGACAAATTTTAATACACGATAACTTAATAAATTCATCCAAAGCCATTTAACCCAATAACCCAACGCGCCAATCAGCAGACATACGAGCTATAATTATTAATAATATACATTTAATAACGGAGACGCCAATAACCACACAACCCAGGGTACTTACTAGTCACTTTGTTGATTAATAAAATAACACAAGCGTCAATCACCACACAACCTGGGGCGCTTACTGGTCATTGTGATATTTAGTAATATTTATTAACTAAGTATGCAAGCGCTAATCACCACACAACCTGGGGCACTTACTGGTCACTTTGTTTATTACTAAAATAACACAAGCGCCTACCACCATACAACCCGGGGCACTTACTGGGATGTTTGTTACTTAATAAAATAACATAAGCGCCAATTATCACACAACCTGGGGCACTTACTAGTCATTGTTATATTTAATAATATTCAATCATCAATTATACAAGCATCAATCACCACATAACCGGGGGCATTAACTGGTTTATTTTGTCAATCAATAAAATAACTCAAGCTCCAATATTTAATTAATCTACCATGTGACCGGTATGCGCTTCGGATTGTGTGGTGATTGGCGCTTGTGTTATTTTTTTAATAAACAAATGGACCACTTACTGCCCCTGGTTTGTGCAGTTATTAGCATTTGCATATTTAATAAATAAATTTTATTAACTATTACAATGACCAATAAGCGCTTTCAGTTGTGTGGTAATTGGCGCTTGCGTTATTTTTTATATTTTATTATGTTATAAAATGAATGGTAAGCGTCCCAGGTTGTGTGGTGATTGGCGCTTATATTATTTTATTAATTAACAAAGTGACCAGTAAGTGCCCTGGATTGTGTGGTAATTGGCATTTGCAGAATCATTTAATAAATTTTATTAATTGTTACAATGACGTGTAAGTGCCCTGAGTTATGTGGTGATTGTCGCTTGTGTTATTTTAGTAATAAACAAAGTGACCAGTAAGTGCCTCAGGTTGTGTGGTGATTAGCGCTTGCATACTTAGTTAATTAATATTATTAAATATCACAATGACCAGTAAGCGCCCCAGGTTGCGTGGTGATTGGCGCTTGTGTTATTTTATTAATCAACCAAGTGACTAGTAAGTACCTTGGGTTGTGTGGTTATTGGCGTCTCCGTTATCAAATGTATATTATTAATAATTAAATCTTGTTAGTTGGCTGATTGGCGCGTTGAGTTATTGGGTTAAATGGCTTTGGATTAATTTATTAAGTTATCGTGTATTAAAATTTGTCGAGTTATTCGGGGTTTCACGTTTTGCTCCATATAGCTAATTTGAATTTCCCTCCAAGTTTGGTGGCCAGTTTCAAAGGCGCTGGTGCTAACTCGCGTGTAATTACATAGTATATGTGTGTGTGAGAAGATTCTTTTTCTTGTGGGGGGTTTTTGGCACTAGCTTAGGTTCTTGGTAGCAGTGTAGTCCGAACGGCCATTTACTAAACTGTGAGAAGATTGATATGTTAAAAACATTGACTGACATACGTAAACTGCGTTGTTTTACCAAATTTATCACGCACATAATCTATAACTGAAGAATTGAAGCGCCGTGTGATAAAAAGTAAATAAATTTTTTTTGAAATATTTATTTACATAATTATTTGTGTCAACAAGTTTGTGTCATCTTGACGTGCAAACGTATTCCTACGGATACTGTATCGATTCACCTTTTTCCAAAGTACGAAAAACCATGCATTCAATCCAGTCGGTCCGAGGTTTTGGCCAACATTGTCTATCTAGAGCTGATTGTATAGATCCGTATATAGATTTACTAACAATAAAGACGCAAGCGAGAACCTGATACACAAAGATTAAGACATAAAATTTCTACTACCGAATATGAACGGCCTTCCTTACCACCTTTTGTTGTTAAACCGTTGAAGTGATTTACGAAGTAGACCTGCTCACAAAATTTTAATGAGACGAGGTCTCAAATTCTTGCAAATTTACCGACTGCATTCAACATTTAAATTTATCGTGCTAATTATTTTAAATTTCTCGTACTCCTCTGTGTTCGAAGCACTGCGATTTCTGCTACTAACTTTTCAAAGGGTACCCTTAACTGCATATCTGCCGTATAGTCCATGGTCTAAAGGATTTTTCAAATCTATGTTTTCCAGTAGAGAAAAAATTGATCATTTCCATTTGGAATTTTTGCAGGAATACAGGAAAAACAGTTTAGTCAAAATCAAACGTTGCTGTCATTTATTCATGTAACAATTTATGAAACAATACCAAATTTTTATTTGGTTTTTTGCTTGTATTTTTGCTTCTGTTGCTCTTAGAGAAAATTTTCGACCACCAATGTTTTCTTCGTTTAATTTTCTACAAAATAGACTTTTTTTACAAACGAATCATTTATTGTTAAATACACATTAAGGGCGGGAAAGTGCAAAAAAATTTTATTATACCGAAAAACTATCATTTCAATATGATTGTAACCGTGAAAAAATATTTATATTATATTGCACAACAAAAAGCTATTGGTTAAATTGAAAAATATTAATTAGTTTTTAGTTAACTAACTCTCTAAAGTAAAAATTTTAAAGTATTACTACAAACG